TGATTCTATGATTCTATGATTTGATTTGCAGTGCAGTCTTCATCAGGCAGAGAGAAGTGAGCTATGGGGATTCATTAATGCAAGACAAACTGGAAGTAACTTTTCTTGGTTTTAATTACCCTATGAACTGTCTGCTCTTTAGTGATGTTAGGTATGACATGAGCTCCAGCTTTCACTCATTTCTCTTGCCTGGTTTGTAAGTTAGTGGCTCATTAGTAGCTGGTGTGTCTTTAAAGAGCAGTTTTTCAGTTGGGCTTTGTGAGGATACTGGCTTTGTGCCATGTTTTTCCTTTAACCTGCCATTGATCACTTCATAAAAAAACAAGCAAACAACTGAATAGGAGACTCAGAATCTCAAAATATGAGATTGTGAGAAGGAGGGAAGGATTCCTCTGGAGGTGGTGGTTTGTTTGGGATAGGTTAAGGGGATGCGTGAGCCTGAGATTATTGCAGTTAGCTAGGTAGATGCAGCAGTGATGTTCAGGGTGTTACAAAAACATCTATCTCATGTCTGTGAATATAGACAGACCTTTTGGTCATATAGCTAGAAAACAGCAAGGCCCCTGGGACAGAAGGACTGAGGTCAGCAATGAGGTACTGCCAAGCTCCTGTCAAGAGGTGCTCTCAGAAATGTTCTGCCTTTCAAAATATATATTATTTTTCCTGTTTTTACCATTTTTTAATACATTTTGATTTGAAAAAATGCACAGCTGGATTTTACAAGTGAGCACAGTCTGAAAACAGCCATAAGACTCTGGTAACTGCCCATTCTATCAGTCATCCCTATAAGTGCCACACATTACTTGTTTTCTGTGTGTCTGACATGTATTTCCAATAAATATTATCTATGAGAAGATAATAAAAGAGACTCCTAAAAACATTCTTAGAAAACGCTAAGTAACCAAGGCATCACTTGGCACTGAATTTTTAGTTATGTCCTCTAAAGCATGTATTATATCCTGACAAAGTGACTAGTAAGCTTCACTTACCAAGTTTATTTGAATTTATTTTCTGCACTTATCAGTACCAATAACCTTACTGAGAGAAAACTATGCATTGGGAAGCAAATTACAACCTTTACAGCTTTTAAATATTCCCTGAAGCAACCAGAACTTCTTTTTTCAAGGATTTTAACTGTATTCTAAACAGTTTTACAGAATGTATTCAATTTAGTTTTATTGATTTTATTAAAGCTGAAGATCCACTACTCACTTTTTTAAAGATCAAACAGTATTTAGTTTTAATAATAAAAATAATGACTAACCTACAGGACCCCTCAGCAGCTGGAGGAAGCTTTCTTAGCACTCTGACCATGTTAGAGCCACCATTCCACATTGCATTAAGTTTATAAATTAAAATCAGACATAAAATCAAACACAAATTAAAGTCAGACATAAATGAAAATCCATTGAGATGTAACTGAAAAGCAGTGCATTGACAGTAGCCACATTTACCTTCCCAGCAGTTAATTTATAGGCATTTTATTTTCAAAGTGACTAATGCTTACTTAGAGTGATTTACTTCTTTTCTGCCTCTTTGGAACAGCTCAGGTACCCGGGGTTGAAACACTTATGGAAGATATCGATGAATTTCAGAGTGTCTCTCAAGTGGCAGGATCTGTAAGTACATTCCCTTATGGATAATCCTGTAATCTTTACAAATAGCTTGATAAAAATCAGATTTTGCATGAAGACAATTTTTTTTTCGTTCTAGGAAGAGTGATATTTAAAAATAAATGGCTATAAACTCATTGAAAACCATATGTTGTTGGACTTACATGTATAGCTCCCATTGTAGGGGCAGTCATTTTATACTATGTCTGTACCTTCTTAAATGTTAGTCAGATATCCATTTTAGCAGATAAAATTCAGTTTTACAGAATTAAGAGAACAGAATTATTCAAACTCCAAATTTTGTTATGAAATATGACATTGCAATATCTCAACTATAGGTTTTTTGGTAATATTTTCTCAGAAACTAATAGACAAGAAGCGTCTGTTTAAAATGTACGACTTATTTAAATATGTATTTTAAGAATGTATTATGCTTGGTAATATTTTCAACAATTGCTTTATTTTGAAGTTTAAGGAAATCTTTGCAGATTTGCAGTTTGCAGAAAATAAAATACAGTCTGGAGTTCCAGAATGAGTCCCTAAGCTCTTTGAGAATGTGGAGTGCAAGAACCTCCCAGAGCATTTGTAGATCATGGGCAAAAGAATTAAGAAGTAGACCTTTATGATGGGTTTAGAATGTTTTTGAGCTGCTCTCTCAAGCCTCCTTTTTGCTTTACTGTAGTGAACAGAGAGGTCTAATTCTGCAACAGTTTCTGAACCAAATTTTTTCTTACTGATTTGGACCTGCAGCTACAAGCTTTGATTTATCAGTTCTGAAGACATGTTGCATCAGGAAAGAGCAACAGATATGTTGAATTACACAGAAAAATAAAGACACAAGAAAATCAAAAGATCATTATGTTTATTAGCAAAATCTTGGTGCAGAATATACAGCCTTCAACTGAGTATGGGAAAGCTCTTGCTAAAATACCGTGTAGCTAGCTGATTGTATACTTTTACCTCTTTACCAGTGTCTCTTGGTTATTCAGAATACTACCCAACTATCCCACACTGTATATTTGTCTACAGCTGTGTCTCCTCAGAAAGAAACAAATCATCCAACTGTTGCTGTTGCTTTGAAGGGGTCTGAAGAGTAGAGATCTGTTCCATAACCCCCTAATAACTTCCAGTGGCAATTTTGACAATCTTGACATGTAAAATATAGAGGTAGAACTGATGTTCCTCACAGGAGAGCTGTGAAGATAAATACATTCTTTCAATGGCTTTCCACAAATCCTTCCAAACAGTAAGAAATATGCTTTTCAAATTACTTCAGAATTGATACCAGAATCCATTCTTGTGACTTGAAATTATTTTCAGATACTATATGAGATATGTGATACTATATGATGAATAAGATGAGGGAAAAATAGAATAAATATGAAGCTGATCAGACATTTCTCATAAATTGGACTAACTGGTTCCCTTAAACGTAGATATTACATGTAAAAATCCCTGATCTGGTTCAAGGTGTGCCACATTTACTCTGGTCCTGCATCCCAGTAGGGTTCCCAATAGGGATTCAGTTGTGAGGTAAATGGATCATTATCATTGTCATAAATTTCTCTCTACTTTAAGAGAACTTGTCCTAATACTATATGTTGGCCAAGTTTTCTTTAAATGTGCCTCAGCCTTCAGAGAAAAAATGTTTTGAAAAAAGTTGTGGGCCGCAAGAATTACACATAAGTTGCTTTAGGAAAGAGCCATGTGGGTGCTTTTTTTGTGTCCAATCTATAAATCCATATGTAAGGTCTTTGCTGTGGTAAGTAAAGCAATCTGGATCCCAGTATTTAGAAGAGACACAACATGTATGTCTGTAGCATGGTTTATGTAATTTATAATATGGTTACTTTTTTTTTTCCTTTGTGACATTGTATATGTTTTCTGCCCTGTTTCTAAAGAACGTGGAATTTTTTTGTACCTTTTTGCTTTAAACCTTTTTTAATGGAATATTCTGCTATGCTTTGTTTTTCACAGAGTTAATATTTGAAAATTCATTTCATGTAGGTGCACTGCATGGTTTCCAGAAAATGCGTATAATTTTGAGTTCCCCAGCATTCAGTAGTGAGGTGCCCAGGGAGGTGGTCTGTTTGTCAGTATCCCTTCCAAACTGCTGTGTGGTTCTGATGATTTAGTTGCTGTGAGATATTGCTGTGTGCCGTGATACAACAGCACTGGCAATTTTGATTAGGAAATTCTGTGATATTCCCAGAACTTCTGCTTTTCAGAGATACGGTGCCAAACGTTATGACAATTTGAAGTAAGTGCAACCCCCACAAAGTAGCTGGTACTGCACAAAATGTAAATCACTGAAGAATTTGTCCTGTTACGATGTCTCAGTGTGGAACAAGAACTTGTGTGAAGGTGTATATATATGAAGTACTTTAGAACTCTTGATTTTAAGTAATGCCTACTATTTATGTTCTTAAGGTAAATTTTATTTTGTGATGTCTTGCATAAAATATTCTCTATTTTACAGAAAAAGCACCAGATGCACAGTTCTAAGTGAGGAAACCACCTTTTTTTACATTGTTGTGTGTAAATGTGGAAACTACATTAAAAACTATTCCCTTTTCTTTCTCTCTGTGTCAGCCGCAGATGGTTCGGACCCTGGATGCTGTGGGTGTCAGACCTAGAGGTTCCCCCAGGCAGAAACTCCTCAAGGACTCCTTAGCAGCAAAAGAACTCCAGACCATGGAGAAACACCTGGCTGGTATGTGTGGCAGCAAGGAATCACAAACTGCCACCTCTGCCAGTGTTTTAGACAAACGGAAAAATGATGCACCTCACATGCTGGTGATATCAGATAAAAACTTCTCACTGCAATTATTGTTGTGTTTGTAGATGTAATGAACTTTGCTGTAATTACAGTAAATACAGCAATTAAACAGTAATTAAACTGTGTTAAGTATACTGCAGTCTGACAGCTTAATACCATTCTTTGTTTTGTTGTTTCCACATGTCACCAAGACTTCTGCACTAAGGAGGTCGTGATGCTTCATCTGCATTTCAGTAGTGTTTAGAAAAGGCTGCAGTGGACCTTCAGCTTGAGAATTGAATTCTTTGCAGGAGAATCTCACCTTGTCCACGAGACATCTGGCTAAGTGAAGCCTGTTAACTTGTGTGCAGTGGGACATCTGCAACATCTTTGATGAAGTTATTATTTCTAAAAGGTCAAACAAAAAACCCAAGGTTTTCTCAGTGTAGCTGAGGATGGCAGTCTTAGCTCCCTGCTTCATCTTGATTTGATGCTAATGAGAAACTGTGCAAAAACTGCAGAGAGATAACTTTGAAGAAATGAGAGGGGGTTTTACAGGTTGCATTGTGAACAAGGGGTGATGTTTTTAAATTAAAAGAGAGAGATTTGGACTAGAGAAAATGGAGAAATTTTTTATACTGAGGATGATGAGAACCTGGCCCAGGTTGCCCAGAGAGGTGGTTGATGCCCCATCCCTGGAAACATTCCAGGTCAGGTTGGCCGGGGCTCTGAGCAACCTGCTCTAGCTGCAGATGTCCCTGCTCCTTGCAGAGGGGTTGCTCTAGATGACTTGAAACATCCCTTTCAACCCAAAGCATTCTATGATTCTTTGAAATGCTTGTCAAACATTTGAACTGTTAATTCTAATGCCTTATATTTCAAGGGTGAATCGATTTTCTTTGCACAGCATCAGGTTGTCACATTGAAGAAAATCAGTAAGAATTTTAAACGAGAGAGAAACTGAAAGTGAGTTTCTTTTTTTCTTTTCTTTTTTGTTTGTATGTGTGTGTGCACAGATATTGAGAAGGACCTAACACTATGGGAGGAAGCAAGGCTCTCAAGAAGCCCTAGTGTCCAACATCACAGTTTAGTTCTTGTATCTGACTATCAAGGCAATCTTCAAGCTACACAGGGGCAAAATGTGAGGCCTCAAGTGCCAACTACGATGGGGAAGAACATTCAGCTCCAAGGAAGTAAATCATCACCACTGCCCAGTAACAGCAGAACACAGGTCTCCAGCGTGGCAAACAGCAAACCTCCAACGCCTGGTACACAAACCAACAGGCCATCAACTCCATCAACTCCAGGGAGCAGACCTGTGACCCCAAATAGCTTGCTGTCACAGCCTCTTACCCCTAGCAACCAAGGAAACAGGGGAGGCATCATTAGTATGCAAAGAAGCAGATCTTTGACATCTAAGAGCCAAATGGGGAGGACCCTCAGCCCTGCTTCAGGTCTCTCTGTGCAAATGAGTGGAGATATTGTTGGAACTGTCACTACTCAGAGAAGCAGTTTATCAGAAGTAAGATTTTCAATTTAATGATTTTGCTGTGTTTAAGAGCTGCTATAATGTGAACACTAGATTGTGGTTTCTGTGGAAGTAACATCAGTGCACCTAATGTAATTCACCAAACAGAACTTGAAATACAATGATGAGAAAATTAGCAAGGAAATACTACTCAGCTTTGAGAGGTGCTGATTAAAGAATGTCAGGATTATTACAGAAAACATACTCGTGCCCCCTGAATTTCCCCTGAGCTCTGCAGGGTTTTGCCTGCATAATGCATAGCAGTTTTATTATGCACCGTCAGAGGTGCATACCTCTGGGGTATTAAACACAGCTTTATCTTATCTGTATGGTTCCAGGGCATTTTTTTCCTGCCACACTGACAATGCATAATATTCCCTTGGTCTGGTTTTTCTTTAATTTTCTGGACACATTGGAATGATTAGTTGGCCATCACTGCATGGACCAATTTTCCAAAGCACAAAGCTGAACTGCAATGAGAAATTGCCACGTGTTATTGAATTGCTGTCTTGTGCTATGTGCACGAGAACTGGGCTGATTCAGAGCCTGAAAACTTCCTTTCCCTTGTTAATGGTTTTTACAGGATTAATCGTTGTTTAAAACAAAACAAAAAGTTAAAGTACCTTGTAAATTTTGAGTGGAATTCTCCTCTGCTGACTTTGGCTGCCTTAAAGATAAATTCAGTGTGTAGGCAGTCGAAATAAAAGCACCTGTTGTCTCTCTCAGATAGATGCCTTACAAAGGTGAGTTTCTTCTCAGGAAATGCCAGTCCTTCTATACTGACTTGAGAAGGACCTGTATGTCTAGATTGCTAATTTTTTAATGGTGGAATAATTTGGTTCCCACCATTTATTATGAATCAACTTGTCAAAACTTGGAGAGCATTTTTCCAAGACTGAAAAACTATCATGCCTTTAAATAATTGTTTCTGAGAAATATAATTTGTTTTAAAAACCCATGGGACACTTGACACAATGTATTATCAGTCTAATGACTTCTTAAAAAAAAAAAAAATTCTTTTTATAATAATATATCATAGAGATGCTTGTAGGAAAATTAGGGATTTGATACTTAGTATAATCTTGCAAGTCAGTATATGGTCTCCATTTTTTATTATGAAAGAAAGGAAGTGAAGCACAGACAACTCTAAAACTAAAGAATTTAGGAAGGAAACCTTACCTAAATTGGCTGGGGGTAAAAAAAAAAATAATCCTCATTTTGGTGTTTGAATGGCAGTGCAGTAATCTCTTGAGCTACTTCTAGAATTGGATATCTAACTTAAACACATGAGGACTGAAGGTGACTATGATTCTGTTGACAATATCTTCACTGAGAGTTGATGTAGTTCCAAACCAGAAGTTTTCCATGGAAAAGTGTAATTGTAACAAATTTATTTTTTTAACATGCAAAACCCCTTTGTCTCCTATTTTTAGAGATGGGTGTGTTTCTGTGTTGGAATTTTTTCCCATAGCAGAAAATGAAACTTGTTTTTAACTAGAAATATTTAAGGAGTGAAGGGTTTCATTGTTTTCTACTAAACACTTCTCTTTTTCTTTCTCTCTTTAAGCAGTCCTGTTCTTAACTGATCTTTCCAACTGATCCCTTCCAACCCAAACCATTCTATGATTCTATGAATTATTGTGTAGACTCCCAAAAGTGCCAAGTAAGGAGCGCTGCATCTCCACCATGGGACATCCTGTCTACCCATGACTGCTCATCTTCCCTCTAACAAGGCAGGCAATTAAAAATGCTTTTCTGCCACAGCCTTCCTGTAGTTCTAGTAATAATAACTGTGAGTCTCATTTAATTTGCTGTGGCTTTTTACTTCTGTTTGTGAAATCCCAGGCTTTGCTGATAGCTCTTACAGTGTGTACTCCTATACTTTTAATATACATATATATGTCACCACAACTTTAAGAAATGAGCAATATTATTACCCTTGTAGAGTAGCACGTCTAGTTTCATCCAGCAAGCCCACTGTAAAACTGGTGGTAAATCTCAGCATTTCTATGCAGCATCTTGTTCCTTCTAGAAGTGGCAGATTCTTTTCCCACTCTTTGCTTGCTGGGTACAATGGTGCATTGGCTGTTGGTGACTCAACTCAAACCCTCTTTATCCTTTCCTGACATGCACAAGTGACCTTTTACTTAACAGAAACTCATCTTGGGACTAGCTCTGCTTCTAGGGGGAAGACTGCTAATGTGACGTGTTCATACTGAAGACCTTCCTCTGCCAAGCTGTAGAGGCCCTCAAATGTCAGAAAGTAGCTGATGGAGGTCTTTGCCCAGTGATGTTCCTGGTCACTTAGAGAAATGGGTTTAAACAGAACATACCCAGGAAACACCTCTGTTCAGTGATATTTTTTACCATGTTAGAGGTGTCCCCTTTTTGTGGCTATGTGATTTCATGCTCTTGTGTCACATCTTCTCCCTGACTATGGAGACAAATTATAAAAAGTCAGAGGTGGGGTGGGAGAAAAACAACAAAGTTCTGTCTGTGTACTTTTACAGATCACAAACATGTGAAACTCAAGGCTGATGCTGTAAATTATTTTGCTATTTTCATTGTAGGTTTTTGTATCCTCTTCTGTATAAAACCAGTAAAATAAAAGAAGGCAAATTGCCTTTGTTCTTAGCCTTATATAGTGTCAACTGGGAATTTCTCCTAGATGTGATTACACTGTGGTTTTATTGCCAATCCTATAGAAAATACTAAGATAAGATTTTGCAAATGATTCTGCTTATTTACTCTTAGGTGCTGTTAATGGAATTAAGCAGTACAAACCTGATACATATTTGATGAGACTAAGCCAGTTGAAAAGGACTGATTACTGGCTACTAGGAGCATGTTTCAGCATAAGGAGCTTGAATTAAAGAATTCAGAATCCACATGGGTGTACGCTGTGTTTATTTATCAGGAATTTTAACTTATCTCAATACCTTGTCTATGCTTCCGAGTTTGTAATGTGTTTCAAAGTAACATAACGTCTAAGATACAAAAATATTACTGCTAAATATGGCTCAGAATTGTTCTTAAGTTTTAGTAAAGTTCATGCTCAGGGTGGTTTAATCTTGTTATAGCACAAATCTTCAATAATTTGGCAAGCACTTAACATATCAGCTGTGAAGAATGTTTTAGGGTTTTTTAATGCTCAAGACTTAATGATCTGAGATTTTTGTGGACAAGTTTCTGCCTCCTGGCACACATAATATTAAAGAGTTCTAACAGGTGTGTTTCATTATCATCTCTCTTCAAGGCTGAATACAACAAAGAAATGCTACCTAGAGAAATGGTTTTATTATCTCTATAAAACTCATAAATCAGGGTGCCAAATCCTTTGGCAGAGATACTTTTGTGCATTTACATTATCCTTTGGTGTTTTGTATAAATTGACAAAGGAATGTTGAATCCTGCTTATCTCTTTAGGATGGATTCCATTAAAGTGACACAATTCTGTGATGGTTATCAGTAGCTGTTGAGGTGAAAATACTCCTGAGTCCCTTGTTTGCCATTTAGTTTTCTGAACACTTGGAATTTTACAGTGACTTGATTTATCCAGATAAAGTGGTGTTCCGTAATCTTTATGGCTCTGTCATTGATAACGGCAGGAAATTTCAGCTTATTTGAATATAACATTGATTAACACAAGCTTTCCTCCTACTTTCTGGAGTATAGAGGATAACTGGATGTGGTGAGGAATTTCTTTTCTTATGCTGCAATGCTATTCAATACAATTTAACTTTGAATATGTAGATTCTGATTTTCAGATGGTGTAGAAGACAACAGAGCTATCACTCCCTTTTTTTTTCATGTACTTGGAAGAATCTGGCCAATAATTTTACAATACCTGGCTAATGTTTAAGTTCTCTTTTAGAGACTTGTACATTTTGAACTGTTTTTGAAAATAAAACTATGCATTCCAGTCTCTTCTCTCACCTTGAATATTGCAAAGGAACCTATCAGAATATTTTGTATGTCTGTGTGTGTGCGTGCTCACATACATATGCATGTGTGTATATAGAAAAATATTTTTATATACATATATATCTATGTTATACAAAAGAAAGGAGCAATTCTAAAACATTTTATAAAGCATATATTCAGCTGCATATGGATTTTCAACTGTGTAAAACATGTATATTTTAATGCTTAGAGTTTGATGGTTTCTTGGAGACAAAAGTTTCCACAGCATTTTTCCTTCCTAGGCTTTCTCCTCTGCTAAAACCATGGGGTCTAAGTCAAGTTTCAGGTCCTTGTTCTTACTAGACTGGAAACAATGAAAGTCCTGACAAATCAAAGCCCCACTTAAGCAAATTGTGTATGATGTGTCTAGGCATAGTCCAAAACCTGCAGGGACAGGTGGAATATCTGCACTAAGATCCTGTTCTGTGTCACTGTGTTTCTAAGATGAGTACAGCTATAGCCGTGGCTATAGCAGATAGGTAAAGACCTTTTTTCAGAATAGATAAATAAATAAGAATTGAAAAAAATCTCTAGGGAGCCTTCATATCCTCTACATTCTGGTTTTATTTCACAGCAAGTTATTATTAAATTATTATTATTAATAA